CCACCTACTGCTGAGCCCCGCCTGCTGCTGAGCCCTGCCTGCTGCTGAGCTCCACCTACTGCTGAGCTCCACCTACTTCTGCAGCTCCACCTACTGCTATACCTACTGTTGAGCTTCACCTACTGCTGTAGCTCCACCTATTGCTTGGGATGAAACCGAGCTGAAGGTTGTGATCCCAGGTTTTAAATTAGTGGTGCAACAGACTAGGATCACAAGACAAATCTAGCTAGAGAGTGAGTGAGAGTTATTGTAACTAATGAGCCCAGTTCTGTTTTGGCAGCGTGTTTAACTGATTACTATGAATTCGTGCTTACTGTTGTTTTGGATTATCAATGTTATTTAAATTAACTTAAAGCCAATGCATTAGTACTTTAATTATCACATAACTGAGGGTTACTTATGTCTCTTAACCCTTCATATATATACTGTGATACATTCTGTGGCGGTGTAGGCATGATCTGGGTTATATGCTATTTGGCTATTTGTGACTGTTCTCTGCACTGAACCCTCCCAAATGTTGAGACCCTACTGTAATGGAATTTGAAGTGCCGTAACAGACGCCCAGACCAAATCACAGTACCAATGGTATGTGTTGCATCAACAGCATTAGTAAAAGTAGAAGCAGGAGCTGTAACAGTTGTAGCAGTAAACATACCTGCAATAGTAGAGATTGATGAGAGTAGTGCTTTTACTTAATTCTAGTAATCATTGGTAGTAACTACTATTGCTATTATCATTACTACTATGTTAGCAGTAATGGCAGTACTGTAGCAGTAACATTAGCCCACTAATAATAGCAGTGGTGGCATTAGCCTTGTAATAACAGCAGTAGTTAGTATGGCTGTAACAGTGACATGTGTAGCACCAACAGCATTAATAACAGCAATAGCAGCACCAGCAATAGCAGTAGCAGGAGTCCTGTAAGTACAGAAGCAGTAGTTACTGCAGCTGTAAAGGTAACATGTGTAGCACCAACAGCATTAATAACAGCAATAGCAGCACCAACAATAGCAGTAGCAGCAGTAACCACAGCCCTGTAAGTAAAGAATGTGTAGTTACCGCAGCTGAAACAATGATATGTATAGCATTAACAGTATTATTAACAGCAGAAATAGCAGTAGAAGCAGTAACCACAGCCCTGTAAATAATAATAATAAATATAGAAGGTGTGATTACTGCAGCTGTAACAGTAACATATGTAGCCCCAACAGCATTAATAACAGCAGCAGCACCAGCAATAGCAGCCCTGGAACTAGAGCAGGCTCAGGTAACTGGGCTATAACAGTGACATGTGTAGCACCGACAGCATTAATAACAGCTGCAGCACCAGAAATAGCAGTAGCAGGAGTAACAGCAGCCCTGTAGCTATGTTAATGCAGGTGGTGGTTATTGCGGCTCTAGCAGTGAAACATCAGCAGCATTAATAACAGCAATAGCGGCAGTAGCTGGGGGTTAGTAATTCCAGCACAGACAATGGAGAAATAACCGTGGGTAGGAGCTCTTGCCTGCTATAGCCACGGTAAGGATCCAGTGCAGCCACAGGCCAGCGCGGAGAGGCATCTCCTCAGCAGCAGTGGTGTCAGGGTACGACAGCCCCTCTGAGAGAGCGCTGCCAGAGAGCGGCTATTCACGCCGCCCGGGGCAGGGGGCACCTCAATGGCCTCTTGTGTCCCGGGGCTCCTGCTGGGATATCTCCTGCCAGGACTGGCACAGGCTCTGCAGCCCATCCTGGGAGCCTGTGGCTCGGGGGCTCAGAAAGGGGCCATTGTCTGGCAGCTGGGCTGCAGAGGCCCTTCACTTTGTTTTCCGCCTTCTCCGAAGGCAGGAAGGAGGGAAAGAAAAACATGGCAGCAAACCAGTGCTGATGGGCAGGGGGCATTTTCCATAGCTATGAGATACTGTCCTCTGAACTGATTAGTCAGGGAATCAGATCAGAGTGACGATCGGATCACCTTGCAACCTTTGTCTGCCTAATTCTGGTCTCCTGCCTGTCTCCCAAGCCAGTTTATACTCCATGGGAGACAGGGCCTTCTCCTCTTTGACTCAAAGCTCTGGCATTCCTTTCCTAAGGATATCCGAGAGTCACCCCTGACATCTGATCCCTGGGCTCTATTAAAGCTAGACTCAAAACCTCTTTTTTGTTCTGTAAAGTGCTTTGAGACGCCACTTTTAAGGGCGGTATATAAAATCGAGTTTATTATCATTGCAATCAATGACCCGTAGCCCTGCCCATGCCCAAATGGAAATACTTTGTGAGACAACTGTAAGGAGGTCAAATGGCCTCTTCCTGTCTCGTGGCAGGGCAGGTGACCCAAGCACAGGCAGAGGTGACACAAGCACATCCCGGCCTGACCCGACACAGGTGGGTCTCGGCACCGAGCCTCCAACTCCCTCTTCCCAAACCCTTTCCTCCTGGGATCTCCCAAGCTCGACGGGGCTTTGACAAATCCGATACAGGATGGCTGTCAGCGGAAGCCGGGGTGGCAGATAAGTGGCTGTCCAAAACATGAACAGGACCCCGTTTCCGTTGTGGTGGGTTAAAGGCCTGCTGGTGTTTTTCACAGCCCGAGGTTGCGAGCTGCCTGTGGATGATGTAACCTCCTGCGCTGTGGTCGCCACTGACGCCCAGGCCCCCGCGTGACTCATCGCCTTGGTGCTGGGGTTTCCTGCCGAAGCTGCCGTTCGCCCGCCTGAGCAAAGGGCAGCGGGGGCGACCCCCCCCCGAGACGGGCCGAGCCGCGAGAGGGGGGAAGGGGAGGCAGGGTGGTGGGGAAAGTGCAGCCTGGCTCAGGGCGGGGGGGTTCTGCTCACACCATTGTGAATGTCACACCTCGAAGAGCCGCCCCACCGCTGGGCAGCGGGCGGAGAGGGCACAGCTCTGATCGTGTGTCTCTCTCTGTCCCCCCCCCGCCCCCCCGACTGCCAGGGTGCACAGCAGTGACGAGCAGGTCCGTGTACCGGAGGAAAGGAGCAAACTGGGCAGGAAACAGTTCGAAATGCAGCAGCTGCAACACTCGAGGTGCTGGATTAATCTCTCTTACATTCACATTAGTAGCACACAAAAGCTAGTGGGTGATCGAAGGAAAGCAGGGTAACGGCTTGTTCCACACTCCCACCACCCTTTGTGAAAAGAAGTGTCTTCCTCTCAGCCTCAGTCTTAAATGTTCTTCCCCGTAGTCCCCGTACACCACTGTCCTCTGGTTTGTGTTTCTCTGTTGATTCTGGGTTGACTTTATCAGTGTCTTTGAGTATTGTTAACTATTGTGTCAGGTCTCCTCATAGTCGTCTCTGTTCCAGACTAAAATGGTTCAGTTCCTTCAGCCTGCTAGTGTACAAATTTCCTTTAAGCCCCGGAATACAACTGGTTTTTCTTTTCTGCACTGATTCCAGAAGAAACAAAATCTTTTCTATTACCTAGTGACCAAAACTGAATACAGTACAGTTCAATTCTAAATGAAGTCTTACTACTGTGGTATTTAAATTAGCATGACTTCTCTTGAGTCCAGTCCTACACTGTTTACTAGGTAGCCTCACGGTCTGTTTGCCTTTTTTATTGCTTCCACACAGTGCTTAGAACATATCAATAGTGAATCAGAATTAACACTTAAGTGTTTTTCTCAAGTATCTTATTCTAGAACAGCGTTTCCTGTTTTGTGTTTATAATTCCTGTTTGTGCTGCCTGCATGTAACACTCTGGCACTGGTCTACATTAATCTTCATCTGTCTGCCAGGTGTTTGCCCAATCTGGAATTCCCTCTAAATTCTCACCTTTTGGGTTTCCTTTGCTGCTTCTAAACGTTTTCTAAAGGCCCCTGTTTCAGTGTCACCTGCAAACTGGTACACCCATGACAGTATTTCAGAATCTAGATCGTTCACATGAGTTAGGAAACCAGTGGACCCAATCCAGATCCCTGTGGTACTCCACTAATTACGACATTACCCGTGCTGAAACAGCCACACCTTATCTGCTCTTTTTTCTATCGATTAGCGGGTTCTCAGCCTAAATACATGCATTACTTTACACACCTACTGCCCGATGTTTGAGAATTACTGTTTATGAGAAGCTTGTGAACGTCAACATGCCAGATTGTATGGTCTGTGTGCGTCCATTTCTGGAGCTGCTTGTTCATATTACTCTGACAAGTGAGTTAAGCTAAACAAGGTGACTGTCCTCTAGAATCACACTGCCATGCAAGTGCTCCTCAGGGAGTCGTGTAAACCATTCTGGGGTTAATGCTAAAGTTGATCACATATTCTTTACTCCATTTACTGCACAGACTGGTTTGCCAGAAAACAGAAAGTACAGCAGCACTAGCGTCGTCGGTCTCTGGCACTCACAAGCTCATCAAGTGGTTTTTGCACCTTTAATGAAAACAAGCCGATCAAATTTCACGCCCTTTTCACCATTCCTACAATAGCACAGGGGAAATGTGGACAGTAAGCACAAAAGCACAGCCTCTAAAATTAGCCTTCTGTAAAAACATAAGTGAAAATGAATCTTAAAAAATGTCAAATAAGTACATAGAAAAGCAATTTCAGCATATAATTCTGTGGAGCTCTAGATTCCCAAGGGATGGAAGCACAGCTGCAAAATTCTATCCATTAAGTTGAATATAGTGAAACAGATCGAGTCCAATTAGCATCAGTGTCTTCCTCTTAAACCTGCGTCAACCTCTTAAAACCAGCATTTCTGAATATTACTGAAGGACAGACCATAAAGCAATGAATCATTTCCAGTTAACACTTAAATTCCCTATCAGGCTGGAAGTTGTCACTCACCAGCATCAGTGTTTACATTTTTCACATAGCTGTAACTTTTTCAGCTTTCTGCCCCCACTGAACGCAGTCCCCTGCAGGAGACTTGGATCTTCAACACTGACGTTCAGACATGTTCCATGCCCAAGACCCCACTGTGGTGTCAACCCTAAAACCCAGGTGAGGGTTTCTCCGATAGGTCTTGGAGAGCCAATTCCCTGGAAGCAGAGACAAGGGAAATTCCTGCTCTGATAGACTTAAGGAACTGGATTTCTTTAGTCTTGCCTTTTGATTTTCTTGTCAATAATTAGCTGTTCCTGTGTTAAATGTGTGTCTGTACAGGGCTGGGAAAATTTGAAAAATCAGTAGCTACCAAACGTGCGCATTTAGAGATGGAAATTCAGTGACGTGACCAGTCTGTAGAAACCTGCCAGCCTACGGGCTGTGAAGTTATTTTTCATTTCATGTATGTTTTATCAGACGTACAACAGAGGTGTCAAAATCGAAAATGTATTTTTAAGTACATAAGGCAAATGCATTAAATAACAAGTACAGGACAATGGTCTTCCAGGGATGTCTTTTGAACTACACAGTAGTAAAAACAACAGCAAAGGGAATTATAT